CAGGTTTCACTTGGCTTTGTGAATGTCTAAGTTCTGTTCCAAAATCAGAATATAAAGTCCAAGCAATCAATATGTTTCCTCTGTGTTCTTATAACAATCTTGGATTTAAACAAATGCTTAATAAATACATTTGGGTGTAATAAACCCATCCAAGAGAAAAAAGTCAAGGAAGACCTTTCTTCCTTCCGGATACACAGAACTGAATTCAAAATTAATGTTTGCAGGATGGTTTTACACCCTGTGGTAGTGTCCAAGGGGCATTTCTAAAACCTTACGAAAGCAGCTTAAGGAGGAAAGTTTCACTTCTCTAGATATGAAGTGTCCTTGCTTACTTTTGAATATCATGTAACTTGAGATGCAAAAGAATCAACTCCCCTGGCTAACAAGAGACAAGCATTTTGAGAATTTCTGTTATATTTTAGGAAGAACTACTGACTATAGCATACTGCTAAAGTGATTCATAAAAAGTCATAAATAAGTTGTTATGAATAAGTGAAAAGTAAACCAAAGAGAAATTCATATATTCTGATTTATTTTCCTATATCATCATCACAGACTTTTTTTTTCAATTTTTAGATTATTTATATATATTTGTATGTTATTTTGGATCAATGTTTTAAAATCAGGGTGAGATGGAATGGAGAAAAATGATCATAACTCTTTTCTTTTTAGCAATCCTACAAATATTCCAACTTGCCATTAATTGGATGCATTTTGTGTAGCTAAGACATTGGCTCATTTCTCCCATCAGCAGAACTTTTAATGTCCAGGTTCATTCCCCAGAGCTTGTCCAAAATTTCTAAACACCTAACATATCTCCCTAAATGTGATACTCTAATAACACATCCTGTCTCCTAATGTTAAAATCCTTCTATCCTCATTCAAATACCCCGTCTTTCTAATGCTCTAATATTATAGTAACTTATGAAAGTCTTAGATTTCAAAACTATAAGGATTAAGCATTTGGCAATGACCTAGAGATGATCCTCTCCCCTTCACCTTCACACTCAACACTTTAAGTCCTCTCAAGCAAGGAAATTTTCCCTCATTCCCTCCAGGGATGCACTGGAAATAAGTTGAAAAATTATAACACTTCTATTAGAAAAATAATTTTATAAGATGACATCCCAACCTAAAAAAAAAACCCAAAAGCCTATAGGGATTTAAATAAGTGAAGATAAGTTCCTTTGACATTGTAGAGCTCACAAGTTTAAAGGCTCTATTTCCTAATCATCAGCTCCAAATTGCTCGGCATGCAAAATAATCCAAGTACTTGTTCTGTTTTTCAGAACGTGCTTGCTGTCATTTATTAAATAAATACTTTAATAACCCTCATTGAACTTTAACAAATCCAGCTGTTGTTGAAATTGTTAGTTGTGAAAATGGCATATGGTTATGCAAAAAAAATGACATCAGTTAAAAGCACATTCTAAGGAAATTACAGATGAAATATCATGATGTCTGGTGTTCACTTTAAAATTTTCCAGCCTAAAACAGGGGGGATGGATGAAATGAGACTGGCAAAATGTTAATAATTGTTAAAGCTGGATAATAGGTACACAGAGGTTTATTCTACTGTTTACATTCGTGTCTGCTTGGAATTTTCTCTAATAAGATGTTTAAAAACTTTACACTGTTGTTGTGCTGTTCTTACATCATCACCTTTTCACTTTGCCCCAACCAGGCTTCCCTTCTGGTATATCTTTTCCCAGGGAAAGAAGGAAAGAACCACAGAGCCCACTGTGGATGTATCACAACTTCAGCCACAAGGGTCTTGTGAAGACTCAGTTGACTGACATTCAATACAGAATTTTAGGTGGGGAAGGTGGAAGGATAAATTGGAAGTTTGGGATTTGCAGATACTAATTACTGTATATAAAATAGGTAAACAACAAGGTCCTACTGTATAGAACAGGGACTATATTCAGTATCTCATAATGATATAATGAAAAAGAATACAAAAAGGAATATGTATATAACTGAAACTCTATGCTGCACACTAGAAATTAACATAGCACAGTAAATTGACTAAACTTCAATAAGAAATTAATAAATATTTTTTTAAAAGATAAAATTTGGAAGAAAAATATTTTTTTCTCATTTCTGTGAAGTACCTCAAACTACGCGAGTGAGTTTTAGGGCACTGCTTACAAACAGTTGCAGTATGTATAATTATTAAGGAATTTGTGTAAACGTGTGTTAAAATACACTCTACAAGCTCCAGAGATAACTTGCCATAGGTACTTTGGGAATCGTGAAAACTAGCATGTTCTACTTGCATGGCAACAACACAGAGAGCAAGAAGGAATTCTTGATGACTGAATTTAACAAGAGCAATGTAGAAGATGCCTCAAACAAATAGTGATACAGAATTATTCATAAGTAAATGAGGTCTGAAAGAATGATGCTTGTTTGGCACAAACACCACAAAAACACAAGGTAATTAGAGCTTAACGCAGGAAGAACTGTTCATACATGACCATTTTCCCAAAAGGGTCTACAGTTATAAAATCAATTAGGATTTTTTGGAATAAAAAAGTATTAAATAATGGTTAAGTAGCAGAGCATTCTTTATTGTCACAATATGTTAGATTTATAGGTTCTTGGAAACATTGTAATTACTCACATCTGGAAATAACACTTGTGTAGTTCTTCCCGACTTATTCTTCAAAACCAGTTCCTTATTTCAGTGGCTAATATCTGGATCCCGACCTGGGAGCCCCCAGGGAGTTAGCTCACACATCAGATAAAATGTCTTCAAGGGAAGAGTGATCTCAGTAAAGAGACTTAAAACCATTTCATGAGGCACGTGGAAGGAAAGAGGGCCAGCTCATCTGGGAATGGAAGGCTAAGGTGAGACATAATTGCTACTTTCAAATATTTTAGGTATTATTTTATCAGCGAAAGAGTAGATCTCTTCCACATAATTCAGGGACGAGCTAGAACTAGTGAGGAAACTTTCAAGGATCCAGATTTCAGTTCAACTTACAAAGACCTTTCTGACAATTGGAGGTAAGACTCTAATGGAATAGATAATTCCTTTGAAGGAACTTCTCCTGAGGCCGCTTAGTAAAGTTTGGGGGATGTTTTTGTTTTGTTGCTCAAAATGTTATCCACAGATGGGTGCTGGTCTACACATTCATGCTTTTTTCCCTTGAGATTTATATTTGAATGATTTTTTAACAATAATTTTACTCCTAAAATTATGTTTCCTATCAATTAAAGGCATATTATATTACCATAAAATTCTATAAATAAGTGTAAACCACTTACAGATTTATGTATCAAATATTTTATGTGTTTATCTGACATACTAACAAGCATAGGGTGATGACATATTCCTAGACGTTTCCGTGTGTGGGAAGGGTAAGAACACTTAACATGAAATCTGCCCTCTTACAGAATACTGAATTGTGCAATACTGTAATGTTAACCACAGGCACAATGTTGTTTAGCAGATCTCTGGAACTTAATCTTCTTGCATAACTAAAATTTTATTTTTTATATAATTTTTACAGTTCTTTTTTATTTTTTTTAAACTATTATCATTATTTTTTTTTGTAATAGAGATACTGGAGATTGAACCCAAGACCTGAAGCATGCTAAACATGTACTATAGCGCTGAGCTTTACCCAGTCCTCCAACTAAAACTTCATACTCACCATATAGTAACTCCTCATGTCCCCCTCTTCCAGCTCCTGACAACCACCATTCCACTTTCTACTTTTATGTGTTTCGCTACTTTAGATACCACTTATAAGTAGTCTCAGGCAGTCTCTTTGTTCTTCTCTGTCTGGCTTGTTTCACGTAGCATAACATCCTCGAGTTTCATCCATGTTGTTGCATATGGCAGGATTTCCTTCTTTTTTAAGGCAGAATAATATTTCATTGTCTATATATACAACATTTTCTTTATCCATTCATCTGTCCATAAGCATTTAGGTTGTTTCTACCTGTTGGTGAATATGAATAATGCTGCAGTAAACATGGGGGTGCAGATAACCCTATGAGATTCTGATTTTCACATATTCTCTGATGCTAGTTCACAACAAGAGAAAGAGCTTGTGCCAGATTATAAACTGACACACTGCATCAATAAAGACTTGCTGTGGAAAGAAAATGCCAACAAGACTAGACAATGTACTTAGTGACCAACTTGGGTACTTTGACTATTTCTGCAATAGAAGGAATTTATCCACCAAATAGTAAATCCTAGAGACTTTTCACAGTAATCAAATATCACACTACAATATATATAAATGGAACATCCTTTTTAACACTAAGACTTACACTTCCCCGATTGAATATATGTTTGAAAGCCACACATCACAGTCATATAAAATTGAAAAATAAATGATTACGTTTCCTGGAATTTATTGTTAGGAATCTATTAGTTGGATGTGCCCTAGGCCAAGTCTTCAGGTTGAATAAATAACGCATATTGCATATATGCATAGACTTCTATTTATAAATATAGATTCTGCTATAATTATAAATAAGAATTCATTTTAAAGTATACCTTATGTGTTTTCCCAAGCACATATACTACAGGTTCCATCTCTATATTGTAGAAGTCCCAAATGCTTTTTATGTGATGAATATTCTTACATTAATATGTTTGCTAATCATGCAGGGCCCATGCAACCAGCTGTACAGTTTGCATCCTGCATAAAGCACAGGATAAAGGAGCAGGTAGAGGCTGAACTCCATCCCCCTGCACTTACCCAGCCATGAGCCCTGGTAGTGAGATTGCATCAGGCCTTGGGTCACCAATCATCCGTTTGTCGGGGATGGAAGGGTTTCCCAGGATAAACGCCTTTCAGTGCCAGAGCCAGTATAGTCCTGGGCAAACCAGGATGGCTAGTCGCTGTAATCAGGGCACAGATGTGCCGTCTGTGCTAGCCTCAGCTTCGGAAGCTTGCCTATAGAACAGTAAGCTTAAAAGAATGGAAACAGTAAAGCCATCCTCACATCATTTCTTTTCTCCTTATGTTTTCAAGGTGAAAGAGCCATGTAATCATGCCAACATCCTGACCAAGCCTGACCCAAGAACCTTCTGGACTAATGATGATTCAGGTATTATTGGAAAAATACACTCTGGCCCTGTGATGTACAGGAAGCATTCTGCAGTAAAGTCCTGCACCAAGGCCAGGTTTGGGGGAAATTTTTGGTTTTGCTTGTTTGTTTCTTTATACCTAGTTCCACACTTGAATATACTTCATAATCACTTTTTTAATAATACAAGTTCCCTTAGTTTCTCTTCTGTTTCAGTATCTTAAGTACATATGCCATCAGGTGCAGCTTGATGAATTGTGAAATATATTCAAGTGTTGGAAGAACAAAGCAATGAGTCTCCTTCCTGGAGGGGGAGACAGAGGAATAGGATAAAGTGGGCAAATACACTGGTCCAAGTCTCTCTTCCAGGGGAAGAAAAGGATTAAAAAACCTAAGGTGAGTCGTATTCAGAATCCTGGGTGGAGGGCAGATGTGACTTGTGCCATCATCCCAGAGTATAAATCTAATCAGATCAGAGGGATGCCACTTTTGGAGATCAGAGAATATGCTTCACGTTGTATAATTAAACATGACACTCAGATCAAGGATAGGGTAAGCTCTGCTAGGAAATGGAAGACATCTTTTCATTCTTTTTCACAAACACATTGAGCCATGAGGCCTAATTACATGAAGTAAAGACACTAGAGATGAGAAGGGAAGGTTAAACAAAAAAGCAAAATAATTAAGAGAATGATACCAGAGCTTTCACCTTCTCTGATTAAATAGGGTCCAATTAAATGGAGAACAGTGGTGATAGCTAATATTTGTATTAGGCCTCATGGTTTTACAGGGTGTGTTCACAAAAATCCAGCTTAGTGTTTGGGCCACACCTGTGACATGGGAGGGGCAGCCCATCCTCACTGTCCCCGTGGGAGAGATGAGATCAGACGCTGAAGGAGGTGACCTGACATTCAAAGCTCACGACCAGAGGACTCCAGGGCTGGGAGGAAGACAGAGAGCCTGCGCGCTCAGGTCTGTATCACTCTTCCCCGGAGGAAGAAGCTCTCCTTTGAGAAGCAGCATGAGCTAAATTGGTGCTTTAATCTTTTCTTCATAAAAGAGAGAGGCTGTGCCTATTAGCAGAAGCAGGAAGGATTGAAGAGGAGAGTGAAAAACACTCGACTGCCTTTTGTTCAAAGTCCAGGCTTATGGTCTAAGCGTATTACCAATTTCATCTGTCAAAAAAAACTGTTCTGTCTTGTTTTATGTCTTTTGAAGAAAGATGAAGAAACATGAAAGTGAATTGGACTATTAATGGCATCATTGTGGTCCCTGAGTAGTACAATCACAAAACAAACAAGTGTCTACTGGCTAATACTGCCATTAAGACCTACAGGGCGTATGCTGTGAAGAAGCTATGTAGAACCAGACATTACAATTCAAAAATAAATGATCCTTATATCTGAAATTATATTATTTGAAGGTAGACACTGGAAAGTTTAAGATGTGTTGTGTAAATCTTAGAGTAATTGAAAAATAAAACAAGCATATAGGTAATAAACACCCCCCCCCAAAAAATTCTTAAAGTTCTGTAAGGAGAATGGAATGAGAGGGAAGTCTGTACAGGCCAGGTCCAGAAAATGACGCTCAGGTACCTCTCAGAGCAGGAGAAATTATGCTACAAGACAAGCGAACGCAGAACATGTACAGCAATAGCAACAGGAAAGCTTCAGATCTACTCATCTTAAAAACTTTTTTAAAAAATTATCTTTGTGTCATCAGTAGGGTTACAAAGAGATAGGGTTCCTTCTGTAGCATCTCACCTAATGAAGACCCTCCCTAATAGTCAATTCCTAGACTAAGCTCTACGTCTAAGGATTTGGTGGAGGGAGGTAGCTGTTCAATTTCTGAGACATGGGTATTAAAATCTCTACCTGTGGTGGGAGAATTATCTTTTACTTTTTAAAATTTAATTTTTGCTTCAAATATTTTGAAGCTCTGATATTAAGCACACACAGTCTTATCATTGTTATAACTTCTGATGACTTGGTAGTGTTCCTCTATCTCTGGCACAAGTCTTGGTTTGAAGTCTTTTTCTCCGATATTAAGATAGCCAGGCCAGTCTTCTGATGCCACTCTTCACATGGTGTATCTTTTCTATCCATTTACTTTCAATCCATCTGTGTCTTATAGTTAAAGTGCTTCTCTTATCTACCTCATATAGTCAGATTTTCCTTTTAAAGACTATCTGACGATCTCTGCTTCTGCTTGGAATGTCGAGACCACTTAACACTCAATGTACTTGTTAGATCGAACTTGGGATTCGTTTTCCTCATGTCCTTTCTCTTCTTCATTTGCTCTTCTTCCTTTTATGACTTCTCTAGAATTATTTGAATATTTTTTAGGACTCATTATTTATTTGTCTGTTGACTTAGCAGAGGCTCTAGGAATTACAAAAAGTATGTAAGTTTTCACAGACCATTGTAAAACCTTGAAACAGTTTCTCCTCCCATCCTTTATACTTATGAAATTAAACCTCAGTATAAACTATTTAAAGGAAAATCATCTTTTGTATTTTCCAAGATGTTTATCATTTCTGATGTTCTACGTTTATTCTTGAACGTGAACTTTTCCTCAAGAATAATTCCATTTAGCCTGGGAAAACTTCATTTATCATTTTTTATGATGTAGTAATTCTCTGGCATTGATGTCTCAATCAATCCACTCTGAGTGGATGCCTTTTTTTTTTCTTTTTTAATTACTTCAAAGATGTTAGGGGATGAGGGGAGCATCTCAGTGGTAGGTGCACATGCTTAGCAGGCACCAGGTCCTGGGTTTAATCCCCGGTACCTCCATTAAATTAAAAAAAAAAGAAGAAGAAAAAGAAGAAGAAGAAGAAGAAGAAGAAGGAGAAGGAGAAGGAGAAGGAGAAGGAGAAGGAGAAGGAGAAGATGTTTGTTCATGGTCTTCTGGCCTCTACAGTTTCTAATGAGAACCTAGTGATATTTAAATTATTGCTACCCTGAATGTAATGTGTTGTCTTTCAATGGCTGCTTAAATTTTTTTAACCTTTGTTTTTATCAATTTTGTGTCTAGACTAGAATCAATGTTCTTTTAGATATAGACTCCCTAGGTTTGGGAAGTTAAACATCCTTCTAGTCTATTAGTAGTTTTCTTAGAATTTGAATCTGAGGAACGCAACTGTTTCTATTGTGGTTTCTATACTGCAGCGTGCCCTTTCTTCCTCAGGACATCAGCATTCTAACTAAAATTTTTCTGCTTTCAATTCTGTCAAGTGTAAACACAAGCTAAAGCAACTCCACAGCCACCTTCTGCAACATGCAAATTTATGAGCCTGCAAATAGAGTCTTTACAAAGGCACAGTATGAATTTTATTATGGCAACTTTTATCAATCCCTGAAATTATTGTGATGAAATGATTCCATCAATTCCTACAGAAAATATATTTCAGTGAATGGAATACTTCCATTCAAAGCCAACAATCATCAGAGAGTGTTTTACTTATTCTAACGTATAGCCTCTTGATACAGAGTTTAAGTAGAGTTGACAATTAGAGGTAGCTATTTCAGACTGCTTACTAGAAATCAAAGGTAAATTTTAAAGTATTTTGCTTTGAAGTGGAGAATTGCTGAGGGTTGGCTCACCCTGAAATCCAATGATTTTCCTGGATTTTCATACTCATTATCTTTTTGCTTAACTACCAGAGATGGGACTGGCAAACTCAGTTGCCATATGCAGATATGGTAGTTGGAGAGACAAAAGTAATTTTTTAAAAGCTTTTTTTAACACATAATGGAAAAGTAGCATATGTTCATCCTAGGAAAGAAATGGAAAATTAATCACCCATAATCCTACCACCCATACTTTTTTTAACTGGACTTGAGTCTCGTGCATTCCCAGCATTTGTTCTGATGACAAGTAAACAGGCTGCCCAAGTTTAGGCTTTTTCCTATTATCTTTGTTTTTAGACTTTGAAACCTGAGTTGTTTGTTTTTTGCACACCTTTGTTTTTCAATTGCTTGTCCTGCAGTAGCCGGTAACATCCTCTTAAATGAGAATTTCAAGGTAGAATGAGTTTCCCCACACTTTCAGAATGTGTATTTTTCCAAATACTATTATTGGTGACACAGATAATGGTCTTTACTTAGATAAAGTCAGATAACAAACTAGTTAAACAATAAGATTTCTTTTGCAAGAGCCATGGTGTTAACTGGACACCTGTTTTGCCAGGTAGGAAAATGTAATTCCTTGATGCTCTCCCTGGGCTTTTACTTGAAGTCACCTTTTAACAAAATGCAGTTCTACCCTTGGAATTTTCAAACTGTCCGGATTTCTTTCAAATGAAAATTAAAGATCAAGATTCATTATTGTGCAAATTTTTCCCAGAGGGAAAATTTAATTTTCCCTTATAATTCAGGATTATGCATTATTTCTTTATAATTTTTAATCATTCACCACATTTTAAAATTTAGCCCAAATTCCTGGGGTAAAATGATATATTCATATTTATTCAAAAGCAGTAAGAATTTATGTATCAAATGTAGAAACGAAATGATTCATAGTTTGAAAACATATGGACTGCAGAAATATTTCAGTATTTCAGAAAATACATAAAATTAGATCACTGAATTAATATAAGGAGAGGAAGAACTTTCATATAGTTTTTTTTAATGAAGAAAACATAATTTCTAGTTTTTTTCTTAAAAAGCAAAACACTGTCATAGTTGATATCTAAAAAACAGTTGCTTCATCCCTCAAAATATGGCATTATCTAAAAAAAATGTGATAAGAGTTAAACACAGTCTGCTTACACAGAAATTTTCCATCTGACGCTTGTTGGCCAGTGCAGACTTTGCCTCTTGCTATTATAGATAAACCTGTTTAGTAAAAATCTATGCAAACATGAAGATCTCTTAAGTGGACTGACCTCATTTACTCAGATCCTAACTTAAAAAAGTAGCTATCTCAGTAATAAAGTCACCTTGCCCACAGGAGGAATTCCCAGCATCACAGAGTGCCACCAACGGGAGCCGAGATGGAGCTAGGCTTTGGAAAGGTCA